TTGCCTTGGCCCAATCTCTATTAACATATGGTATTACGTCCTGGGGCGGTGCTCCAAAATCAATAATGCTCCAATTGGAGAGAACGCAGAGAGCCATCTTAAAAGTCTCGTTTTCGCTGCCGTATCACTATCCTACAGAGCTCCTATATAAAGAGTTGAAAATATTAACTGTACGGCAACTTTTTATACAACGAACCTTACTGAAACAACATCCTCTATTAAAATACAATCCCTCACTCTCCCGAGGGAAAAAGGCGTTTTAACCCCGTGGACCGCACTCATATAACTCTATCCACCAAACTATCTAAACGTTTCTTTTGTCACCTCGGAGGTTTTCTATACAATAAAATCAATAAAATTATCTCTATATTTAACATCAATAAGACTACATGCAAAAGTAAAATAACTATCTGGCTACAAGAATTAAATTATGATAACACTGAAAAGCTACTCACTAATCCTAACTAATTACTATCCGTACTAAAGTTAAATACTAACCCAATCCTAAATTTAATTTCTATCCCAGTTACTACTACACTACTAACAAACAAAAGCACGCACACACACACACACACGCGCACGCACTCACACACACACACACACACACACACACACACACACACACACACACACACACACACACACACACACACACACACACACACACACACACACACACACACTAATACTAGCACCAGATTTAAATATATATCAAATACTAGTTAAGTAAAAGAAGGTACATTATGTAAATTACAAATATGGTACATGTACATGGTAAAAGTATTGTAATTACAACCATAGGGCGGAGACCTGGTGGCCTGAAATACAGGCGTAAAGCCTAGCTTAGGCACCAGTCTCCCACAGTATAACATTAAGGTGTAATATTCTAATATTATGTACAATAATTCTGTAATATTGTGGTGAGAAAATAAATCATTTATTATTATTATTATTATTAACTTGCGTAGGTGTCGAAGACGATAACTTGTTAAGCGAAAATAATAAATCATTAAGATCGGCTAGTATACAAATATATAAATTTTTTTTTTCTATTTATTAAGAAACCAACAGCGTTCTATATAGTTTACATTAAACAATAGTATTTTTATAATAAGGCCAATAACAGGTTTTCATTAATTACTATGAATATAGCATACTACGGTCGTAATAATTAGTAGCCAGTAGGTATAACCTCATATTTACACTTAAAACATTAAATTGAATTGTTGCACCTGTTCCCTCAGGCAGCACGCACATTCGAATGTTTCATAAAAAAAATCATGAAAATATGTACATATACAATAATGAAATCATTAACATCACACACTGTTCAACGGCAACAAACAAATACACACGAATACACACATGTTATTTTTTTTAACAAACAAATACACGAAGACACACTAGTTATTTATTATACACTAGATTAGCAGTATAATATTATTATTTTACTTTACTTTAAGTTATAAATTATGTTATGTTATTTAATTTTATTTTGGGTTTTAGGTCTAAGACTTTCAATAGCTAAGCGCCTAAAAGCGTTCTTAATGTGGTTAAAAATATCAATTTCTCCAAAAAATTCGTTGTAAAGGCTGGGTAGACGCGAGAGGGGTGCATTACGCGCGTAATTAGTACCAGCGCGCGGCGCACTTAACAGGGGCGGCAGACGGCGCGTGGCGCGGCGAGCGCGTCGTAAAGGCACATTAAGCCCCACGTTCGTAACTAGCTCGGGGCAATCAATGCGTCCGTAACTATGTCGTACAGTAGACATACATCCACTAGTTTACGTCTATCTTCAAGGGTAAGTAGGTTAAATCGGTCACAGTTCTCTTGATAGGTTGGTAAGGCTGGTTTATGTTCGCGATAATTAAGATGCTTGATAAATATTTTCTGTACGCGCTCTAGACGATTTATGTAAATGGCGTATTGAGGGGACCAGATCGGGCAGGCATATTCAACGACCCTGCGAACATAAGCATTATATAAGGCATTTAAGGTACTTATGTTTTTAAAAGGTTTGCATGACCTAATGACAAATCCTAGATTTTTAAAAGCCTTGTCCGCTATTTTGTCAACATGGTCAGACAAAAGCATTTTACTATCGACGTATACGCCAAGATCTCTCACAGTCGATGTTCTATGAATTGGTATTCCATTAAAGTTGTAGCAATATAATATTGGGTTGGGTTTTCTCGTGAAAGTAATGCACTCACATTTTTTAATATTAACTGTTATATAGTTCTTTAAGTAATAATTTAATAAGGCGTCTAAATCAAGTTGCATTTTAAAACAGTCCTCTTCACTTTGAATCTTGACGAATATTTTTTTATCATCAGCGTACATTAAATGTTGTGTAAACGTAAAACAGTTGATGATATCGTAGACGTAAGCGTCATAAAAAAGAGGTCCTAAATGGGAACCTTGGGGTATACCTGTTGGTATGTCAATGAAATCCGATCTGTATCCCCCCACCACCACAGCTTGTGACCTGTTATGTAAGTAGGATTCGATCCACCTGAGCAGATCCCCATGAATACCCAATATCTGAAGTTTTCTCAAAAGAATGACGTGGTCCACACGATCGAAAGCTTTTTCGAAATCCGTGTAGACCACGTCAATTTGCCCGCCGCCATCCATATTTGATAATACATAGTTCGAAATCCTGAATAAAATATTCTTCATTAACGAAATACGGAATATCTTGTCGTTTCGCTTTTGGAACACACTTCACTAATTCTTCATGTACCTTTTTATATGTAGACCAGTATTCTTCAACGATTTTAATACGTGTTTCTACGTAACCCTTCGTTAGGCGTTGTTTTGGACATTTCTTTAAATTTGCTTGAGTTTTTCTTAACAATATAGCTGTATCTTCTAACACATTTAGTATTTGTTCCGGTATACTAGCCATTTTCGGTATAAGTATATAAAACTATCTTCAAATCGTGTTTAAACTCGAATGTTGTTTCTTAGGTATTTCTATTGATTTATATAACACTAGATCAGTAATAACCGCGCCAAATCCGTTGCCACTTCACATATGGCCACAGCCATATGCCTAGCTAACGTGAGTGAATTGTTCAATGTGACGCCGACAGAGTTGAGCCGCGACAAAATGGGTAAATGTGTAGTGAAAGAATGCTATTCAAGGTCACAAAAACGTAATAAATCAAGCGGAATCACTTTCAACACATAATTTTTAGTTCTTGTTTTCATATAAACGTAATAAACCTCAAATAATTAAATAAAATTATCGAATATTGCCTTTTAAGTTCAATGTTGCCACTTTTCCGCATTTGTGATTATCCTACATTAATGGGAGACTATATAATTAATGGAGTAAGTTAATTTGTTACCTCCGATTTTAAATATTTTGGAAATTATTATAAAAACCACGTTTTAACTTTCATACAAAATAATTAATTATTCTTATTTTAGTTTATTCATGAATTATCTATTAAATATATTTTATTACCTATTTTATATTAATAATTTAATATTATTTATAATTTCATATAAATGTTATATTAATTATATTTTATTACCATTTTATATTGTTTGATTTATTAGTGCCATAAAAATACGTTTTATTTCATCATTATGTTTACTTCTATTCATCTGATAAGCTTTGTATCCTTTTTTTATAAGGGGACGTAATAAAGATTTTAAAATAAAATATACTTTTTTTAATATAAAAACAATTAACTGCAGCTTAAAAAACTCATTTTTATTACGTATTTTAGGAAAAATTTCATATAGTAAGCCACACCAACCCGCCATTGCATGTTTGTGTGTCTATCTTTATCTAATCTTAGCGACGATATTGTTTTCACAACTTGTGTAAGTGAGATAGATATATGTTTACTTAAAGTTTCAGAGCTACGTCGTCGCGTTTGGATAGTGGTTACACTTTTTTCGACGCGCGGTAATGTGGTTTGCTCCGCTAGTGTTGTATAACTCAATAGGTATTTCCGTGTTATAACAATTTATTTCTTTCCAATCTACAACTCGATGCCATATGGTGCATTAAACGTGCATAAAAACTTGTTTTGTTCTAAGCTCGTCGCTCGACCAGTCCTGTTGTCATAATGTTGAAATCCGGCTCGATTTCGACCACTATGTAATAGATGTTAGGGTTCACTTTGGTTTGTAAGAATTTGTGCTCACAGAAAGACGTGTTTACTACGTGATGATTTATTTGCAACTGTTTTTACAAATTATGCCTTTAAATATTGAACCTATTCACACATGCATACGTATTCACACTTACGCTCGCTCTCACACTCGTATACATCATTATATCCGAACAATGTGTAAACAGTGAAGTGTTTATAAAACATTCGCGGCCAATCATAGGCTGAAATACAACGTACAAAAAAGTCAGTATATGATCTTTGGGGCCGGACAGAACCGTACCAGTAACGTGCTTCCAATGAAACTTATTGGTATATCATTAACTAGGGTAGACACTTTTAAATATTTGAGTCATATGGTTACGTCGAACTTCAAGAATGGTGGAATGGAACGGGAATGTCTCTGCCGGTTGGAGCAAATGTGATTGCTCGCAGTTAGCAAAGAAGCTGTGCATCCGAACCCAATACGCTAGCACTCCAGTTTCTTCCTCTTTCACCCTAAATACGCCCGCAATGCGTTTGTGTTAATGTTCTTTATCCAACGCATGCGACGTACTATACCAGCAGCGACTGCCGACATGAATGTAGTGGGGATGATGGCGCTCGGCTGGCGGCCGCATGCTGCCGCGTCCGGCGCCAGCTCCAGACGCGGCCCGGCAACCCCCAGGCAGCGGCCCTATGCGCGTTTTATTTTAAAGTGCGTCAATTGACGGGAGACGCCTAAGGCCGGCACCGTTGGCACAAACGTGCGGCCGTAAGCACAAACGAGCCTCCGCACCCTTAATTCTATGGAGACACGGCGCATACACCTCTGGGTAAGGCACTATTATGATTATTATAGTGTGCAAGTGGTTTGTGATTACTAACTTGCAGCGGCGAGGAACTGGTCGTGTAGTCTGCGTGTAAGCAAAGGCTCGGGCAACGCTCGCAAGAAGCTCTTGAGCGCCGACGTGAGGGTCTTGCTCTCGCACTCCGTGGGCTCAGCCAGCTCGCCCAGCCCACCGGTGGAAGCAGCGCTGCTAACTAGCCGCGCCACCTTGGATGAAACGCCCGCCACTCTGTAGCAAACATCTTGTGGTAACGGTGGTTCCAACCAAATATCATCATTATCATATACATGGTGGAGCCACAAACTAACATAAGTGGAGATAGTCCAATGAGTTATGAGGCTCATTGTGTTCAAGCATGCTTATCTTTTAAACAATAATTAACTATCTCATAATATCCTTTCTTTGAAAGAGTGCTTTTTACGCGCGGCTTGAATTTATATAATCGGTAATATTTTTTTTAATAATACAGGGATTATTTTTCAAAATCGTTTTACATCTACACAAAAATGAGCCACCAGTTTAATGATGCCTGTACTATAATATAGTTTCTTGTTTATTAGCGAAAAACCCATGTTGGATGTTTTTGAAGTGTTCAATGTAAGCAAGTTATTTTGCATCCACAATTTCATTTTGTCAAGATTAATGTTGGGTTTTGTTAATTACAGCTGTTGTTGTGTTACCATTATAAAAGGCTTAATAATAAAATATATAAAGGCTGATATGTGCAGTAAGAGCTAGTGAAATATCTTTATTCACATATGCATGGAATACAAACGGCCCTAGAACTGATCCATGTGGAACACCACATCTAACTTTTTGAGTTGCCTTTTAAATTCAAAAATTTTACCAACAACTATCGTTTAAGTGTTATTCGAGAACTTTAAGTGATTTTCCATTGACTGCTATATTTTTAAGTTTGTTAAGGTTAAATATTTTTGTAAGCTAATATGTTTTAACCTAATGTGATGTAATGTAGGCTAATATGTTTTTACACGTGGTAGAGCCACTCTGCAGCTATATTATGGTTGTAACACGAATGGGTCGGCTCTACCGGGGAAGGACCACGCTCTCACAGAATACCGGCGTAAAATAGCAGTTTAATACAGCTGTGTTTAGTATGGTGAGTGTAGAGATCAGAAGACCCTTCTTAACTGGAAACGAGGGATTTCATCTTAGTCATCAAAAATGATAACGCATCTGCAGTTTGATTCTTAATCGAGGATAAATTACATGTCTATGGGTCACAGCATCTACCTACCACTAGGTGGACTGAGTGCTCGTATTTAATAAACCCTTATTTAATAAATATTAAAAAATAAACCTACTTGTTTTCTGTCAATACTTATAAAAAGGATTATTTTCATTTTATATAGTGTTAAGAAGTTTATAGGTTTTAAGATTTATAAATCAATAAAAAATATTAGCACCACATCACGGCAGTATAATTGATATTCTCAATTTTCGTCTATATCGTGAAAATAAATCAACAAAAGCGCTAGTTGTACAGTATACATACCTGTACAGTCCCTGTTCCTCAAGTCCTCGCGCTTCTAAGATGGCAATGATGCGACGCACAAAGGCAAAGCCCGCCTCGTTTAGTTCGCATGGGGGTTCTCCGTCACCCTAAGAACAAACAAAGATTTACTTTATACTTGCAAAATTAAGTATAAACAATTTAAATAATGTTACTTCGAACCAATCAAGGTAATAAAGACTTTTCATGTTCCTATAGGTTTTAAATTGGAGTGAAAATGATTGAATTGAGGCTATCCGCTTTAAAACCAGAGTAATCGACATGGTCCGACGGATCAGAAAACTGAAGTGGCATTGGGCTGGTCATAACTCAATCAAAAATCAAAAAACCAAAAACCAATAGGTGGGAAAGGATTTCAAATGCCAGCTTCCTTGCTGGTAGCTAAATGTAGGGCGTTCTCTACCACATGGAGCGAGTGGTAAGATATGCAGTAAGTTGATGCATGTTTTTTTTTATAGGATAGGGTGACAAAGAGCACAGTGGTGTGGTTGTGTCGAAAGAGTTGTGTGAGGACAGATGGACTGTTTCCAGTAAAAAGGGTCTCCGGTTTTACTACAGAAAACAGCAGCATTGCTACTATTTCACGTGGTATGAGAGCGTGGCGGAACCATTGTGCTACAATATACATCTTTACTGCAGCAGGCTCTACCACATATGAATGAGGTAAATTATGATCATGCTTTGTAACATTTGCTGGAAGTAGCCCATGTTCAGCAGTGGATTTGTGAATAGCTGTAATGACGATGAAAGCTGTGTGCGCGCGCGGTGGGTGCGTCTCATTATCGGTCATCAGCGCGCGCAGCCAGGAAGCACCTGCAGCTGCACACAGTACCTGCAGCGCGCGTCGGGCAGTGCTGAGAGCGCGATATCGAACGCGCGCAACCTTTCTGCGCGGTCGCGCTCGCCCGGCGCCTGCAGCTGCAGCACACTGCACCTGCAGCTGCACACAGTACCTGGAGCGCGCGGCAGGCGGTGCTGAGGGCGCGGCGTCAAGCGCGCGCAGCCAGGCGGCGCGGTCGCACTCGCCCGGCGGTTGCAGTTACCAGCACACTGCACCTGCACTCAGTACCTGCAGCGCTCGGCGCGCGGCGGGGGGCGCGGAGGGCGCGGCATCGAGCGCGCGCAGCCAGGCGGCGCGGTCACGCTCACCGAGCGCCTGCAGCGTCAGCGGCGCTCGCTCGCGCTCGGCGGGCACGGCTTCCCAGCAGAAGCGCCGTTCGGCTTCCACACACGCGCGTGCGCCGCACACGCACACGCACTCCGACGGACCCGTCTACACACACACACACACACAATATTTCCCTTTGGCCTCATGTGAATCAACTAATCCACATCTTGATCCATCCATTCCACAACAACACAGATTTTGGCCCAAAAAATTGATGCTTCTAAATTATACAAAAAATCTACTGCATCTTACTTAACAGGATTTGTGAATGACATTGTCTGGATGAGAGAGGAATTGTATCTATATACCACAGATCTCAGAAAGGCTTTTGACTAAAACGATCACCTTCTCTTACTAAAAGAAATATCAGCGCTGGTTTGCGTTATTTTTACGGTGGTAACAAGTTATAACATCAACAGTACATCATATTTAACTGGTGTACCGCAAGGCTAATATTTAGGTCGTTTACTATTCATAATTAACTTACCAAATTAAAAACTCAACGATTTTCAAATATGGAGAAATTATTATTAATAACATTGAACCCGAAACCCGAAATCCTGTTGAGATTCCACCGAATTTGAACGCTCAAAACTTTTTAAATTTATTACAAAGGCAATTTACCACATATGTTGATGGATTTACCATTATCATACCGCCAACGTATGTGGTTTCAAATGGATGGCGCACCAGCCCACTTTGCAAGAAATGTGAGGGAACATCTAAATGTGCATTTCCCCAGATGGATTAGACGCAATGGACCAGTAGCGTGGCCTGCACGCTTACTTGAGTCGGTCGAGTGCAGGTGGGCGCCAACGTGTATACGGTTCGTTTGGCGTGCCTTGCCACCACTCGTGATCGCTCACCACCACTCATCTCACTTCAGAACAGTGTCGGTTTTTCTGCACAAATCAAAAGCGCTCGCCTCCACTCGGCAAAGTTGTGTCTACATGTTAGTCGGCCCAGTCAGTATGTTCACTCATTCAAACTTGGCCAATATGGACACTCGCCTTGTATCAATTTGTCTACGCTCGCGTTGCAATAAAATTATTATTATTTTTATCTCGATTATCGTTAGCGTTACAGCCTATTATAGCCCACTGCTGAAAATAGGACTCCCCCATAGATTGCCTCACAGGGGGGATATCTGCCATAGTTGCCACGTTTGGCAAAGAGGGTTGGCGAGCACAGTTTTTTATTTTTGCCCAACTGATTTGCTCCCTCTAGCCTCTCACGATGATGGGGTAGTGGATATTCTTACACCGACATTACACTTTAAATCAGTATCTCTATTTATTTTAAAAATTCATTCGATTAAGAATTTAATGAAGTATTTGTGTCTTTCTTTCCGAGCATTATATACTACATTAAGAAAGATCAATTGTCGCACCTCAAAATCATGTCTAAAAAACAATATGTTATTCAATATGCATTTTTGCGTGTATTTATATATTTAAATAACCAACTTGTAGACGGCCAATCGATTTGAAAATTTGCACTCGTATCAAGAACCGATGACAATACATTATTTTTATATATACTAGAGCTACAGTAATCGCTTCATATTAGTTATATTCTTAAATTCTTAGATTATTTGTTACATAAATATCAAGAAAAATATTGAATGTTGTATGAAAGCGTGCGCTTACATCTCACCGTTTTCACGTTGATCTGGTTGTATGGCATCAACGACAGCATCCGCGACTCCTTCTCGTACGTGCAATACTGCTTGCTCCACGTCGTTCCGAACGCCTCTGTAGTCACAGTTAATTGTTCAAAGTATAAATCTACAGGAGGTTTTTAATTTCGAAAACTAAAATAAAGTTTTTTGAAGTCTGTTTATACTTTTTATTAAAAATTTAATTATTTGACCCTTTGGCAGGACTAACGAACGTCACATTAAAGAACTTTTACCGCAAAAGTTGAAGATACTCTGGGTTAACTTTGACATCGGGACATTAGCTCTCGTGACCACTGCTGTTACAAAGCACGAAAAATTGGAAATTAAAAACTAAGAAAATTAAGCGCGACAAAGTCCGTAAAGATAGTTTTATTTATAGTGTTCTTGTAAATATAAGAAATAATTATATGATTAAATCAGTAATATTTAAAAGCTGAAGTTAGCCGGACTAACTATGACATTAGAACGTAAAACACCCGAGTCGCTATACCCACCCCCCGAGTTGTAAAGTACCCGAAACGTCGAACATTAAAAAGTTAAAATTAAATGCGATAAAATCCGTAAACTTAGTTAATTTAATAAGGAAATTGTTAAAGAGTGAACTAGAATCAAACTTACTTTTCTCCATGAGGAACAGGTAACCAGCTCGCGATACACCACCGCCATCGTCCGATATTTCTTCTTCTTTGTTCTGGTTGACATGCAAACATGATAATATTTAAATAGTATATTATACTTTAAATTTAAGAGTTACATATTATATTATACCGTCTTGAACGAGCTCTTATATGTTTTTTGTTAAAAAAATGTTACCTCCACAATAATAATGTCTCCTGTATTTTGGGTACAGTTTATATACATAAAATTGCACAAGGACAAACATCCAGACCAGGAACAATTATTTATAGGCCATACAAATACTTGCTCCGTGCGGGAATTGAACCCGCAGCCCTTAGCGCTTCAACTCATTGCTAAGTCACTGCGCCACGGAGCCGTAAATTTTTTTTAATTTTATAGAAAAGGGGCAAACGAGCATACGGTTTATATACGTACATCCGTAATTATATGAAGTTATCCCTGACTAATACGCTTAGTTGGAAAACTCTGTATTCTAAAGATGTCAGGGGTGTTTGGACGGAAAGACCTGCACTAGTATCGATTCAGCATCCATGCCTCGCGGTCAGCAGTCCCTACCTGTACCGTTACCGCTACAGCACATTGCAGTCCACTGCTGAACACAGGCCTCCCAATGGATTGCCGCACAGCCAAAGTTGCCGCGCTTAGCAAACGGGTTGGCAACCGCACTGTTTTTATTTTTAGTCGTTATCGGGAACACGTTGCTGCCCATCTCCTGATTTGTTTACCTCTGTCGCCTCTTAGATCCACAGGAAAATATGGGCTAGCGGATATTCTTACAAGGCTAATTCACGTTAAATTATTCCTTACATTTTTAAGTTTGATTAGAGTGTTTTAACGTAGCAGTAATAAAAATTATTTTTAATAAGACTTTATCCCATTGCGGTATAAGAGTATGTAAATTCACTTGCAATTATAATAACCTCGGCTATAGATATTAGAAAGAGACTTCGTGCTTTCAAAAGAGACTTATCGTCTATAATCGTATTTGTTGAGCGTCGTCTCTTTCGCACGAAATACCTATAAGTGCCCATTATGAATTATAAAACAATCATTTGCTTTGTAAAATAATATTTTCGTATTATTAAATAGTGGATGCAATCAAACCTTAAAAAACTAGTACAACTACCGATAAATCCGTAATAAAACTTCACTGAGGTTTCAATAACAGTGATTATTTTTAAATATAATTATTAATATTCTATTGAACCTTTCCTGATAAGCTTAAAATGTTAGTGTTAGGTGGCTGACGAAAGTAACTGAATGACTGATTCGAACCCACTACCTTTCGAATTCGCAGTCCGCTCCCTGCCATTAGGCTATTGTCGCTTCGACATGCTCTACAAATCCAAAGAAAGCATATTGATGCTCTTTCTAAGAGTCGTTTAGTTGTGTAAAAGTCTAGTGCCACGAAGTAAAATAGTTAAAAAGTTAATTTTACTTACGAACACAGATAAACATGCAAGCCTTGAAATAAACACAACTCAAGCCTCAATAACATTTTATTTATTAATAACTAAGCGCGATATTACAAGATATGTGTACCCACCATTTGCCGTACTTCCATCATTTTCTTCATGAGCGATTCCGTCTGTTTGCTTGTCTCCTCGAAGTTGCTCCGCGTCTGCAAGCAAGCGAACAGTCACGTGCCACCCACACACACACACACGCGCGCACGCGCACGCACATGCACGTACATGCGACAATCGCGTACTCTCGTAAACGCAAATTCTTGAAAACATTGCAAAATCACAAAAAAGTGTGTTAGGGCAGTACACAGGAAACAAAATGTGTATCAACTTAGCAGCACTGCAATTCAAACATTCAAGGTGTTAGTGGTCATTAAAGAACACTCAAACGCAATCACTGACGAAGCCTACGCGCTGAGCGTTGGTGTGTGGTGCAGCTTCAGTCCTGCGCGACCTGCGACCATATCATTATGTTGAAGTGAAAAAATATTTGAGAAACATAATGATCTTTACATATAATAAAAGCAGTAAGGGATTTGAAGTCCACCTGTCAGTAGAAGACTTCAGTATGAATGATCATCTTTATTCAAAAAAATACAATCATGTGTCGCAATCCTGTTCTGAGTCGTGTTTATTTCAGCAACCCCTCGAAGATCGGAACACAAATGAATAACTCAAAGCAGAAACTAAACCAGGTTAACAGTCACCGGGACGTCGAAAACCTCAGTCCTTCGTCACTATACTTACAAAGCACTCAAAACTTCGGGTATTCCAAAATGAATTAAAATAAAACAAGATAAAATGCACAATATGCGTAAAATTAGTTTTGTCCACTTAATTTAGTTTATTATGTCGTCTCTTAAAGGCATAATAAGCTTTATAGACCATTTCAAATTTCTTTAAAGATTGTTTACCATTTCGATACTAGTTTTAACAATTTAGATATCCTATATTATATCATGCGAATACTTTATATTAAATAAAACTAATTTTACGGATTTTATTGCGTTTAATTTAAACTTATCAGATACCATAACTTAAAATTAAACTTGATATTGCCCATAAAATAACTTTCATTCAAATTTGATTACTCAACCCATTGCAGTATTTTGAATCAAATCAACAATGTACATAGCAAGTGACATCGAAACCATGAACAACTTATTGTACGAGAACACGCACTGACGCAAACATATGCACGTAATACTTATTGTTGGTTGAAAATGGTTCTAGATTGCATATATGTGCGTATGTGAGTGTTCTTGCATTAAGTAGAGCATGGTTTCGGCGTCACTAAAATGTACCTAGTTTTTTGTCTATCTCTCTCGTTGGGTTTAGAATAAAATACAGTCTTATTACAAAACATAGTTGATTCATATTCTCAAGTTTAAAATATAGTCATTGTCTCTAATATACTTATTTCATATTCTACATTTTAGTTAGCGTATTTTCTATTATACTGGTTTGTTGAAACAGATTCTAGAGAGGGAATGGCTCTTTTTTTGTGCAAGCAGCTACGCAGGTTTAAAAAAACCAGTATCATTGCAACCTGTAAAATCTATATTAGTCGCTACTATTTCACTGCTAAGCCCTGTGTTTTCAATGAATTGAGGGAGTTGCTTAGCTGTGACAATTTCACTTCTTCTAGACTAAGTACATAGTTTCCCAGATGAGTGTTACCTTTGCGCATTAAGGGTCGCAATTAGCTTCAGGTGTTTATTCCGTTAGGGAACAGATTTTTTTTAATCTTTAAAAAAAACGTTACCTCTACACTAGGATTTTCTCCTGTATCGTGGGGACAGTTTACAAACATAAATTGCACAAGGACAAACATCCAGACCCGGAACAATTATTTGTAGGCCATACAAATACTTGCTCTTGCACTACGCCACGGAGTCGTCCTGACATATTCTTGAGTTGGTTATTCCCAGGATGTGCATGTGCTTTTTTAGACAAGTGTCCAGTCAGGGACACTTGTCTTCTGTAGCAAATCTCAGGGCTTCTGAAGCGAATTTACGATCATAAGCCCGGATATGTATGTGAAATAAGAATAGAAGGAGAGTTAATTGAGCAAGTGGATGAGTTCGTATATTTGGGATGTGTATTCAGCAGGGATGAGAGATATGATAAGGATATTGAACGACGAGTGAATGCAGGAAATAAAGTAAATGGGGCTCTACACTCTATTGTGAAAAGTCAGAATGTGTCAAAAAAGGCACGTATGGCAATTCACAGTGCTGTATTAGTCCCTACTTTAACGTATGGTAGTGAAAGTTGGGTGTGGCAGAAGAAGCACGAGAGTAGAATAAATGCAGTAGAAATGCGGTCGCTAAGGAGTATGTTAGGGCTGAATCTGAGTGACAGGGTGAGAAACTGTGTGATAAAAAAAGAGTGTGGTTTGCAAGATGATGCGGTGACCAGGATTAAGAAAGGAATGCTTCGGTGGTTTGGTCATGTAGAAAGAATGAATGCGGAAAGACTGACAAAGCAAATATATGTTGCAGAAGTGAATGGAAGAGTCGGAAAGGGACGTCCTAGGCGGAAGTTTGTCGACCAAATTGGCGATATACTAAAAATGGGCCAAATTAAGAGTACCCTTAACCGACGAGCATGTATGTATATATAGAGGCGAGAAAGGTATGTCACGATCGTGCTAAATGGAAGTCTGTAGTCTCTGCCTACCCCTCTGGGTGACAGGCGTGAGTGTTTATGTTTATGTTATGTAAGCCCGGATTAAGGAGGTAATGGCTAACTTACCCGCTGGATTCGAAGCTGTAGATCTCGGACGAGCGGCTCGGCGTCCGCGTGCACGTCGTGCGCCGTGTGGTGGAAGGTCCACCAGCCGAACACGAAGCCAAGCAGCGTCTCCACCAGCTCGAACTTCTTGCGCTCCTGCACCGCCTGCAGCTGGAACACGTACTCCAGCGACGCCTGGCAGAAGTCGCGCTCCGCCATGTCCATAGCGGCGTCCGCCTGCAATAGACACGTCATCATCAACATCATCATTACAGTCCTTCACGAGTCCACTGCTGAACATAGGGCTCCCCCAAGGAACGTCACAAAGCACGGTCCTGAGCCACCTGCATTCATCGACTTCCTGCATGTATTACCAGGTCGTCACTCCATTTAGTGGGGGGTCGCTCTACACTACGCCTACCGGTACGAGGCTGCCACTAGAGAACCTTTGTTCCCCATCGGTGTACGGTTCTTCGAGCTATATGACCGGCTCATTGTCACTTCAACTTACTAATCCGTTGGGCTATGTCGGTCACTCTGGTTCTACTGCGGATATCCTCATTTCTAAGTTTATCACGCACAGAAACCCCAAGCATAGTCCTTTCCATAACTCGATGAGCGACCCATGAGCATCGTTACACGGCCAGCGGTGAAGGACCACGTCTCAGATCCATAAGTCATCACTGGCAACACGCACTGGTTGTACAGTCTAGTTTTTAGGTTTTGAGGTATACCTGACGAGAAGATGTGTCGTAATTTCCCGAACGCTGCCCAGCCGAGTTGAATCCGTCGATTGACCTCCTGGTCGAAGTTGAACTTAACTAGTCGGACTATTTGTCCCAGGTAAGCGTACTCGTCAACAAGTTCGAGCTTAGTGCTCCCAACAACTACCGGCATAGGTGTGACATGGACATTAAACATGATCTTTGTTTTGTCGATGTTCATTCTAAGAACTATCTGTTGGGAGACACTATTGAAGTCATTGAGCATAGTGCTTAGGTCCTCCAGTGATTCTGCCATAAGGACTATATCGTCAGCAAATCGAAGGTGAATGTGCTCGCCATTGATGTTAATACCGTATCCTTTTAAGTCCAGTAGCTTGAAAACGTCTTCCAATGCAGCTTTGAAGAGTTTCGGGGATTATAGCGTTACCCTGTATTACACCTCTCTGCAGTTGGATAGGTTTCGTACTCTGGTTCTGTACTCGGATAGCCATCGTAGCCCTACTGTACAAACACTTCAGCACTTCGATATACCGACAGTCAACTTGGCACCGCTGAAGGGACTGTAGCACCGCCCAAATTTCGACGGAATCAAAGACTTTCTTATAGTGCAAATACGCCACGCAAAGTGGCAGATTGTACTCTTCGTTCTTCTGTACAATCTGCCGTAGGGTATGTATGTGGTCTATGGTACTGAAGCCTTTTCGGAAACCGGCTTGTTCGGGAGGCTAGAAGTTGTCAAGTTTGCGTGCGAGACGATTCGTAATGACTCTCGAAAACAGCACGTAGATGCGGCTCAGAAGGGAAATCGGTCTGTAGTTCTTCAAGAGAGCGTTGTCGCCTTTCTTGAAGAACAAGACCACCGCACTTCTGCTCCACGCCTCGGGAGTAGTGCCACCATGGAGGACGGAATTGAAGGGCTTCTAATGGACTTTAAGTACCGGTGTTCCACTCATTTGTAGAAGCTTCGCTGTAATTCCATCCTCACCTGGAACCTTGCCGTTTTTAAGGTGTTGGAGAGCCATTCTAATCTCACTTAGACTGACGTCCGGGATATCGTCAGAATACTGTCGGATAAGACTTGCTCTGGGATCATACTCACTCTTGCGTGTGGCTCCAACGATGATGTGTACTGCTGCCCATAGAACCTCTCAATCTCACTCAATATCTCAGGTGTCCTGGAAACGATGCTACCACCTTCAGTCTTCAGCCTTGACAGTCGGCTCTTTCTGACAGATAGATCTCTGGTAAAGACTTTGGAGCCCTGGTTCCGCTCAATCCCTTCTTCAATACGAGCTGTATTGAAATCGCTTAAGTCCCGCCGCATGCATTTGGAGATCTGTCTGTTCAGTTTCCTGTATGCTGTTAAATCTGCTAACGACTTCAGCTTTATCTCCCGTCTAACATCTATAAGATTAAGAGTGTGATTGGAGAGTTTTTGTGTTCTTCTGCGGCGGGTACTTACTTCTTTCTTACTTAGCTCCGACAGCAAGGAGAGTTTCCACGAGCTTGTCGTTCACATCGTCCACTGCATTGCATTCTTCTAGGCACTGAAAGCGGTTTTGTAATTCGAGCTGAAAGGTTTCGGGTCTTCGGAGCGTTGACTTCATTAGACGAGACCTCTTCAACTTAACGTTTAGGTTCAGTGTGCCTCTAACCATTCGGTTATTGCTGACTATTTTCACCCTTGCGATCACTGAGACATTACTGAACAGTTGCCGTCTAGTCGTCATAATGAAGTCAATCCCATGTTTTGTTGAACTGTCGGGGCTCGACCAGGTCCACTTTCTGTGGTGCCGTAAACCTGTATGACCTTCAGTGAATACCGTTTGGTGATTCTGCGTATAAGGTACGCAACGCTCGTCGACATACTCCCAATCTTTATAAAGTTGTTAACGAGAGACTTGTAGATCATAAATCCAACACGTCCTTGGGACAGATGGTCGCTCTCGCGGTGATAGAACAAGTTGCCGGATTCGAGAATCACCGTGTCCTCCCCCTCTCTTCGGACATCGAATAATCCTATAATATTCCAGCGCAACTTGTCTATCTCTTCTCCCAGTTCCAGGGTCTTCTCATCAGTCCTCAGGTTGTTTGTTTTGTATTACCATGGTCGGCACCGTAGCCAGGAATAGCGGGGCCGCCGGGGATTGGGGACCATCTATTTGCGTCGTAGCTCATGGGGGTATATTGCCATAGTTGCCACGCTTGGCGAGCGGGTTGGCAACTGCCAGTTTTTTGTTACATATTTGCTTTTATAAGGAAAATGCTGCTGCTCATCTCCTGCTTGTTTCCCTCTGTCGCCTTTTACGACACCAGCGGGAAGTTATAGGGTAGTGGATATTCTTAACCGCCACTACACGGCATATCTTCGGTAGTATAGACACGTCAATAAGCGCTAAACATTTACCGCTCACCAGATGTCCCAGTTGGAACTGAGTTGAGGTTATTTGTATATATAGTTTCATAATAAATAAAGAGTTGATCTTCAAATAAAAGTATTTCCGTTTCTTGTTTATATGTTACGGACCAAGTGATTAATAGGGAATTATTTAAAATGTCCAGACAGTATTAAAAATGTCCAATATGAGTAGACAAAATAAAAACTACTGAAATAATAAATTGACCGGGCTTTGTTAATAAAGTCCATTCCTTGTTGGGCAGATTAACAAAAAAAAAAACAAAACAAACCTATTATTTAGGTTTTTGTTGTCACTTAATTAAGGGGATATAGTAAGTCAGCTCAAATTCTAATTTCGCCCCCACTTCCCCGCGCGTCATATGCTATGTATCGACATGTTTGTAATCACCAATACTGTAAGTAGATAGGTTGTTAGATACTTATTTCATTACATTTATCATATTTATGCCTATTTCTTAACGCCAACCTAGTCACTTCTTATTTTTATCACGGTTATTTCACATTTTAATTTTACGTCGTACTGTTGCGTAATGTATATTCTGATCGTAAGCGACACAACTTCTCCCTTCAAAAGCCTAAGCGATACTAACGGCTAACGGGACGACAGGAATCAAGCTTCAAGACGCCGATAGTTTAGGTAATTTCTTTTTAGAGTGAAAATAATGGTATTTTAAAAAAGTAAATAACGTAAGCACTGCTTTATAGTTAGTTCAGTTAGTATGCAAAGTTTCATGATCTTATTTAAAGTATTTTATGAATAACAGCGGTTTATTGTTCAGTTTGGAGGTAACTTTGGATTTTTTTTCTATCGAGAAAATTTTACGGAAACGTGTTTTCGTCTAACATTGTCCTTAACATTAATCCTCAACTTTACCATATATTTATTTCAAAATTAATGCTCCAATACTTTCGGCATAACGGAGGATCTTGCTAAGCCATTTGAGGTTATATTTCCCCTTAACAATTAAACATAATGGGAATACAGTTTTTATTCAAAGGTGTTTTTGTAGCGCAAAGGAAGGAATATTATCGTATTGCTGCTACCGATACTGCAAAGTAGTTTTTTCACTTCATTCTCATTTTTACACTTGTTAATTTTAGATTTGGTACATTATTAACTTATTGTCTTAAAAGTGATTAACATGGTTGGTTTGTGTTATATCAAATTGCGCAACAGTTACATAGACCAGACAATGTGATAAATAATGAAGTTTAAATCAGTATCAATTGCGTAGCCCCATTTCACTTGTCATTTTGTCCATAACATAATTAAGTACCTAAATACAAAACAATGCCTCATTAGTTGCTCTTTTATTTCTTTGCACTTTTAAATTTCTGTATTTTTATCAATTTTAATTTGTAGTTTGCTTTATCCATTTAATCTAATTAATAAAATATAACTAATGTTTCAGAGTGAAACGATTAACTTTATATTTTCTAACAATTTAACTTCCCCTATATGAAATCTAATGTATATCATGTGAGCAGACGCATGCTTACTTCTTGAAAAACGGCCTCGGGCTTCTTCGTGGAAAGCGAGAGCGTACGCTCCTGGCTCTGGCAAAACTTTGCAGTCTTCTTGTCGAATTTCTTCTTCCCCTCCTGTAAAGTAACAGGATAGTTTTGGATTTTAGCAAAACAGCTACTTAATTCATTCAGTCATGAAAATACAATATCTTCAGATTTATTTTAACATAACTAAATTAAACAAAAATAATTTTTAAAAACAAAACAAACTACGTTAACTTACACTAGGATTTTCTCCTGTATCATGGAAGCAGTTTACGTACAGTATTTCACAAGGACAAACATCCAGATTCGGAACAATTATTTGTAGGCTATACAAATACTTCGCACGCACGCATCGCACGGCAACTTATTTCTAAACCACCACGGAGATGTCAAGTAGTATTTATTTTAAGGTCTATAGTTATATAAGTAAGAATTGCATTAAAAAAATTCAAAAATATATATAATAGTATAGAAAAGAATAGAATCATTTTTATTTAACATTGATAACAAGAAATAGCAAGAAATCAAAATTTGGACACTGAAAACAAAATTAATTTACAATACGAAATTTTATACAATTGTTATGAAAACATTTAGAAACAGCACGGTAGAGATCACCCCATTCCCAGGGCTTATTATCAATCACGTACTCTTCAGTAGGATAATAACCCTCACTAAATAATTTTTTCTCCATAAAAATTACAATATTTTTAAGTTCTGCATATTGGAGGTATGATGTATGCATGTTAAGAGAAACTTTCGAGTCCTTTGTTATAATATGACGTACGCAATACTAGCCCAATTATAATTTGTTGTTATGCAAATTCGATTGCTCACTTCCCTGGACCGGAACTAATCGATTGTAAAGCCTTCAGAAGATAACCGGGCGGCGTTTAATCAATAGAAACTTGATAGAAACATATAAATTTGTTTGCTCCTTAGATAATTCAAATTATTTAAAGTTAAATGCTGTACCATCCATTGATCCATTACAGTCCTATAAAAGTCCACTGCTAAACATCACTCATAGATATATTGCCTCATGGGGGGATTTTGCCATAGGTAATTTTTTATTACTTAGAGTTGTTATCAGGAAGCCCATCTCCTGGTTCATTTCCCCTGTGTCACCTCTAACGACACTCGGGAAAAAATGGAGTGGTAGGTATTCTTACACCGCACCGCCACTACACAGTTGTTACACTTGTATTATCTTGTACATTGGGTGTTAACAAATATTACGGTAATAACACTAGAGCAGATATTGTTTTACGATACAATCCAGGTCTACTACTACCTATGTTACTAAGTTTTATTCTACTAATCAATTAGACTAAAACAAAAAAACCTTCTTAAATTACTCAAATTGTTCAGTGTACAGGCATTCACACATCCAATCAACAAATTTAAAGACCTGAGAACGCCACAATTCTATACAATTAAATAATTTTTATAGAAATAAATTTATACCGTTCATAAATAAAAGGTTTTCCAAACTGAGCTGCACCTGTCTCTCGGTTATCTAGCTCACTCAATCGGGCACAGCGCGACAACAATAGGTACTTCTAATGTCCTGTCGCATCTCTTAAGGCCCTGTTTACGTTTTGATAAGTGAAAAGTGCGAGTGGCAAGTGAGAAGTGGCAAGCGAGAAGTACTTAGTGCGTGTGAACAGGCAGTGTCAAGTGATAAGTGGGAATAAAATACGCACTTGTCTCTTCTCACTTGCCACTCGCACTTGTCACTTTTCAAAATATAAACTTGCCTTAATCCCAATTTATATTTTGAGAAATGACAAGTGCGAGTGGCAAGTGCAAATGACAAATGACAAGTGCTTAGTGCGTATTTTATTCACACTAATCACTTATCACTGCCTGTTCAACCACAGTAAGCACTTGGCATTTATCGGATGCACTTGCCACTCGCACTTGTCACTTTTCAAAATGTAAACAGGGTCTTGGTCACAGATTTTTTTTAATAAGGGCAACAAAAGAGCACACAATCCACTTGATGGTGATTAATTACGTAGGTTACGGCTCTTCTTATGGGTCAGGCCTCTTACCTTTAAAAAACCCCCAAAGACGTTGGTTTTTGAAAAGGTTTTAATTACGTCAGTGCACTCTACTATCTTTAGCTGCATCATCACTTACCATCAGGAGGAATAGTAGTCAAGCGCTGGCTTAGAATAGTAGAAAAAGAGAATTTTATATACACGATAGAGCCACGCTGCAGCTATATTATGGTTAGGCTGGACCGGGGCAGGATCGCGCTCTCACTAAACACTAGCATCAAATAGCAGCATAATGCTACTATGTTTCGTATGGTGAGTGTAGTGAACCGGAGACCTTTTTTACTATAAATGAGGTACTCTAATTCATTAGGGGTGCAACGCATCTACATTTTGATTCTGAATTGAGAATAAATGTACATGTCTATGGGCCACAGCACCTACTTATCATCAGGTGGACTGTGTGCTCATTTGTCAACCTCTTATTCCATTAAAAAAAACTATTAGATTAAAATCTCTGTGACAGATATGCTGACAAAGGCCGAGGTAATTTCATATTAAGTGTCTCGTTTCGCTGAATTTGTTACGGAACACATAAAACTAGATAATGTATCTTGTTAAATCTGCATTTGAACGAGTGAATATTTTTGATACAATGACAAGCAATGGCGCCAACAATTACAAACTAGTGCGCCGTCCGGAATCAATTCAATCAAGCCAATTGAAAAATATTCCCGAGGTCAGTTTCCATTAAAACACAGTTACATGGGATCTGACAACCTCGCCACAGCTGTGCTTAGAGCTGGCTCATATCAGGTCCGACGTGGGTCATATATATATATATATATATATATATATATATATATATATATATATATATATATATATATATATATATATATATATATATAATTAGTATGATACGTTACAGAATGTTGAAAATAGACCTCCTTAGGAAAGATAAGAGAATAGGAAAGATATTTGCCATAGTTAGCAAGCTTGGCAAGAGGGTTGGCAACCACAATTTTTTATTATTTTTTTTTTCATTATTAGGAAGGCGCTGATGCCCATCTCCTGATTTGTTTCCATCTGTCGCCTCTTACGACACCCGCGGGATGATGAGGTGGTGGATATTCTTATACCGCCACTACACGGCACATATATTCATAATCAGTACAGATCAATTGACGTCTACGTGCCGCAGTCGTTTTTCAATGAGTTGCAGAGCCGCGGGTTCGAATCTCGCACGAGACAAGTATATGGCCTATAAATAATTGTTCCGGTTCTGGATGTTTGTCCCTGCGAAATGTATGTATGTAAACTGCCCCCACGATACAGGAGTAATTCCTAGTGGCGGTAACGTTTCTAAAAAACACAAAATAAAAAGTCAATGCTCACCTTGACAGCGCCAATATGCTCCTTGCGAAATCGCTCCAACGGTTGAATGATTTGCTCGTGCGCGCGCCCCAGCTATAACAAACAAAGGTAGTCATGAACACAGACGTCAATGTCATATTTACCATGGTAAGAGTTTTCCATAAGGACCTCAAGCATAATTCTTCACTACCTCGCACCTATATATTTTTTATATGACTTTTTTTCTCTACCATACGACACACAGCAGCATTGAGCTAATATTTCACGCTGGTAATCTGTGAGAGCGTGATTGTTCCCTGGTCGAGCGGAACCATTCGTGCTATTGACGTGGTAGAGCCATGCTGCAGTTATATTAGTAGTATAGTTGTAGCACGTATGGGTGGACTCGACCGGGGTGGGACCACGCTCTCACAGAATACCAGCGTGAAATAGTAGCTTAATGTTGCTGTATTTCGTATGGTGAATGTAGAGAACCGGAGACCCTTTATACTGGAAACGAGGCATTCCATCTCAGTTCTCACGGGTGACAACGCATCTGCATTTTGATTTTTAATGGAGGATAGATGTAGATGTCTCTGGGCCACAGCAACCACTTACCATCAGGTGGACTGCGTGCTCGTTTGTCACCTTATTCTATAAAAAAAAAATACAACCATAATATGGCTACAGCACAGCTCTACCCCTTATATGTCTCTATATCTATGTACATATATTTAAATATGTTACAGCGTATAAGGGCTGCAGCACAAATAGGTCGGCTCCATTGAGGAATGCTCGCACAGAATACTGCTGCTGCTGTATTTGCATTCTCAATGTGATTTTTTATTCAATATGTGAAAAAATCATAATGTGTTTGTTACGTATCTTGAAAAATGAGAACAGAAGACCCTAAGGTGGCGGTTTCCGTCGCGATCAAGACAGAAGACCGAGCCGGGAGACTGAGATGGGACACTGAGACAAATGTCTCAATCTCTACTGCATGCACTGTGGGTCAAGACCGAGACGCAACTAAAGCTACACTTCAGTGTATCGGAAAGTCTGTCGATGAAGTCAGTTGTGTTGTCATTACTTTACACAGTAATGGTATGTATGTATGTGTGTAGAACTTTTATTGGACGAAGAAGATGACGATGATGTGCTCTTATATTATCATTACAAATAACAATCCAAAAGAAGATTATCTTTTCATCACATTTCATTACAGCTCTTCACAAGTCCACTGCTGAACATAAGCCTCACCCAAGGAATGCCACAAAGCACGGTTTTGAGCCACCTGCATCCATAAACTTCCTGCTCGTTGTCGTCACTCCATACAGTGGGGGTCGCCCTACCACTACGCCTACCGTTACGAGGCTGCCACTCAAGAACCTTTTTCCCCCATCGGTTGTCGGTTCTTCGATGTATGGCCAGCCCATTGCCATTTCAGTTTACTAATCCGTTGGGCTATGTCGTTCACTCTGGTTCTTCTGCGGATATCCTCATTTCTAAGTTTATTATCTATTAACGAATTATATTTAACTAAAGGCCAAGAAGGATTATTTTCGCTATTAGCGAAGAAACACCTATTCTTTGATGACAATATATTCTAGTGTGCATCGTATATCGGTGGATGCTGTCTGATCGGTTCAATCAGCTTTTCAGTCTTCATCAGAAAAAGTACTACTATACTGTACTGTACTGTAAAGTACTACACGAGACACTACTGATCAGGTCAGGGTTAGGGGCAGCAACCGTCACGCAGTGGCGCTCCCCCCCCCCTCTATATATAAAAATAATATTATATTAAATATAATTAATTTAACCCTTTTCAATAAAATTATATATAGGGGAGACTGGGGCTGGTAGTGTCAGGGGTAGGTAGTTACAGCGGCAACGGTGGCTAAACTGAGAACGCTGTATTGTCATGAGAAAGATACAAATGATCACGCGACTATCGGCTGGCACGCCGCGCGAGCCTGTGGCGCCAGGGCTCTTGTGAGAGGAGCACGTACATGTTGCCGTCAAAACCGCATGTTAGTAACATGTCGTAATATTGGTCTAAATAAACTTATTTTTTAAAGCAGATATGTGTGTGTTCTGATATGTGTGCCCTAATACTTTCTTATTGCAACGAATTTACGTTTATTCAGTTATACTTATTTGTGTTTTTACTACTTAACCTTAAAAGGTCGGTTTTAGCGTTGGGGCTAAAAGTGACATTTGCTCGGGTCAGGTTGTTACTTGTACCTGCTCCGTAGTGCTGCTTGCCGACTGATATATTTGACTTATTTATTTTTTGCTATGATGTAATTTTATTTTTTATTTTTTGTTTTTCTTCAATTTATACTAAGATTTTGTTTAATAAAGAAATTTATAATTTTCTGCCGGTTGGAAGTTACCTAAATTTTATTTTTATAAGGCGTAAGTCTAAAAAATAAAATTATAATTTTGTTAAACGAAGTTACTATGTTTTTATTTTAATGAGGCGAAAGACTGTTATATAGAAAATATAGTTTGACATTGTATACATAATAATTGTTATAAACTGTCATTAAAAAGTGTTATATTACATTTGGTTTTTGTTGTAACATTTTGCCCCTTATAGTGTAACAACCAGCCCCTGCCGCGGGGCTAAAAGTTAAAAAATAGTCTGGTATCTAAAATTGTTTTTAAATTAATAACCCGAATAATTACTTATTCAAACAAACCTACATTCCGGTAAAACAATCAAACAAACAAAAAATTGCGACACTTTATAAAAAAATGTCACAACCAGCCCCAGTCTTCCCTATGTGACCAGGATTAATAAAATATGTTTTGATCTTTCTAAATGATCTTTCAAAAGGTTTAATAATAGGCCGTCTTAGTTAGGACCCTTATTTACGTTGTGCTTGTTTAGTAACTTAGTTCTTTTAGGTGTCTTTTGGAAGAATGAATATTCACTAGGGCAATTGAAAGCTGTTGGTAGTGCCTTATAAGCTAAGTGAACCCCGTTCACGAAGACAGGGCTCGAGAAAGGTTAAAAACATAAAACGTCCCTATTCCACTTGTATCAGGTTTACATTATTAATTTATTATTATTTATCCCTTCCCGCTTGGAAAAGGCTCACAATATATTTATACAAAATACCCGATACAAGGGCTTCGTTCTCCTACATTTATTTAAAAAAATGTAGGGGAGGCACACGGCTCCACCCACACACGCCGTGCGCGGTGAGCGCCAACCATTTTGATGCACTTCCCCCGAAGAGAACGCTAATTCGGGAACTGGACCGTAGTCCACAGCAAAATAACTGGCGAACCAGTAAAAGAGGCTTGGCCCCTTGTTAGTGCGTAAGCACAAACATCGACCGAAGTCGCGCATGTCAATGCGTGTAAGCGCCACACAGAATACGAACGAATCCAGCCACAGTGAATGTACGTCACACGGTTTAGGCAAATAGGCACACTGGCCGTAAACCCTCCGTGAGCGCCACCACCTGCCAAACCGCCGCTCCTGCAGACGTGATGTAAGTGTATGGCATCACCACCGACTGCATGATCAGCACGGCTACTAGCCGCAGAGCGTGTCATGAGTCTACCGCTCACCTCAAGGGAATGGGGTCCCACGTTGTGCGGCTTTCGGCCGCAGCCTTGAGTCCCCTCAGATCCTCCCGCCAGCTACAACCCGCATGAGGTCGACACATATGCTCCACCAACCAATACAACGGCAGATATAGCCAAAAGGCAGTTATAAGATAAGAGTAATAATTCGCCATCAGAAAGGGTTTGTGTCACTGACGTTGAGTAAATGCATTTTCGATCATGTTTGCCTCACCCACCAACAAGTTGCCTTCAATCATTCAAAGGTGGGCAAGTTACAGAGATATATTATTATGTTGTTATATTAAGCATCATGGAGGGCAGACAGTCTGCAGCCCCGTAATGAAGAGACCCGACTTGGGCAAAGCTACTTAGGTGTGAGCAGTGGCGAAGCTAGGGCTCCAAACTAGGGCAAGCCCAAGATATGGTTTTGTTGTTTTTAGCAGTTTAATAAAAATACACCAATCATGAGCTGTCTCCACTCTTTAGTTTCATATTCAGTGCTGTCAGTGCTATCAAGGACGTGTTTAACAAAGCACACAGAAAGCATACTACCGCTAGATAGATTGTATGACATAACATGCAATTGCACACCTTCGGTGGTTTTGAAAAGAGCCGTTTGGGTTTGCTTGAGATATTTACAAACAATACAATACATGAACAAAAGAAAAGCATGAACAAAGTACAAACTATGTACAAAGTTAAAAAAGGGACGCCTAGCAGATGTGAAACCTCGAAATTATTTTGTTTAAGTTATATGCATAAAAGAACAGATTACGACAGGAATTAGATAGTTATAATGAGAAGATAAAGCTTTGCTAATTTTTTACCATAAAATAATAACTATTTATTATATAATTATTCATTTTCAATTCATAATAAACCGTACAAAATGATATTTTTAAACTCATATTATGGTAATATAAATTAGCCGATAGCGTATTTGTGCCATCTAGCGTAATCTTTAGGTACCATCGTGAGAATCAACCAATTTTCGTTCGATAAAATGACTACCTATAGAATTAAGTAGATGGCGCTATTAAAATTTTATATACTGGAAATAACTAAAGGGAGTATTCTTTAAAAATCTCAATACATTCTTCTGTATTCTTTTGATTTATTTCATTAAAATTTGGGCTTCACGTTAAAAAAAGACTGTAACACTTATTTCCTATAAAATTAAACCTAGGTGTCTCATATTTTATGCTGGTGTTCAAATTGATATTTTTAATTCGTATGGTAATATAAATATTGAGTTATTAAACCTTTAAATACGCCTAACTTAATTAAACTTTAATACTAAAGAGTCCTGTACCTATATTTAAAGTATGAAGAAATGTTTATTGAATATTAAATTTCATTTTTAAACATCTTACCTTTTCCTCGCCGATTAGCACTTCAACACACTTATATTCATCACAATGAACACTATTATCCTCCCAATTTTCACTGAAAATCTTTGAAAAAGCATAAATTTTTAACAAACACAACAAAAACGAACATAAACATTGAAATGTGAAGTGAACTTGCAT